ATCGAGGGACGTGATCATTCCCCTCTATTCGACATTGGTGAGGCCTCATCTGGAGTACTGTGTCCAGTTTTGGGCTCCACACTACAAGAAGGATGTGGAAAAATTGAAAAGAGTCCAGCAGAGGGCAACAAAAATTATTAGGGGGCTGGAACACATGACTTATGAGGAGTGGCTGAGGAAACTGGGATTATTGTCTGCAGAAGAGAAGAATGAGGGGGGATTTGATAGCTGCTTTCAACTACCTGAAAGAGGGTTCCAAAGAGGATGGATCTAGACTGTTCTCAGTGGTACCAAATGACAGAATAAGGAGTAATGGTCTCAAGTTGCATTGGGGGAGGTTTAGGATGGATATTAGGAAAAACCTTTTCCACTAGGAGGGTGGTGAAGCACTGGAATGGGTTACTTAGGGAGGTGGTGGAATCTCCTTCCTTAGAGGTTTTTAAGGCCTGGCTTGAGAAAGCCCTGGCTGTGATGATTTAGTTGGGAATTGGTCCTGCTTTGAGCAGGGGGTTGGACTAGATGACCTCCTGATATTCTATGATTCTATGATTTTCTACTGAAATCTTTTAAATAATAAGTGTCATTCTCTGATGATGTACGAATTGTCAGGGAGTCATCCTATTCATGAGAAGTACTTACGTAGTGGAAGCAATGCTTTCTCAGACAGGGTTTCAAACTTGACGCAATCAGAATGCCGGTCTGTGCAGAAAATTCCATCTGAATGATCTTCCTCATAACTTGCCATATTTTGAATGTCAAAGGCTAAAATAGTGCATGTATATTGTAAATATCTTTTACGTAAATATTTTTTCACAAATAACAGCTTAATCAAACATTAAGTCCCCAACTCAGGAAAGTATTTATGCATGTGCTTGAGTTCACTGAATTCTCACTCTCTAACTGAATGAGAACATACCCCCAGAATGGTAGTTCTCTTCTTCTAACAGAATGTTATGGGTTATTCACCTCTGCTAGATGAAAGCTTTAGATCTCAAAGTATTTTACAAAGGAGGACACTTACCATTATCCCTAATGGCCTGAAGCAACTGTGAAATTTCCTCCCCTGACAGTTGCAAGCAAACGTCATACACCCTGAAACAGGATATTTGATCACACACATAGCTACCTTCTCCTTATACAGCTAATATCATTAGTGGTTGTTAAGTTATAGAAACCCCTTAAAATCTAGCCAAAGAATGTCTCTTTTTAAGAAAAAAAGATTAGTAATTATGCCCAGTTATATAATGGTTGTTCTGCAATTTGGACAAACATCAGTTAGGAACTCTGATGAGACCACAAATCATTTTTAATTTTGATCTACAGTAAATAGAATGTTAACCAAGGTTTTCATAGGACATTAGTATTTAACATAATATCTTCTAGCACCCAGACCTGCCAGTGCCCAGAGAGCTGTTATGGGGATCAGAAAATGTCATTTCTGCTTTTGTGACAGTGAAATTTCATTGTATTGATGAATCTTGGGGAAATAAATATGGGGATAAAGAACTTGCATATGATGGACCCAGGTAATTGTATTTTTATATGTACTGAACTTCTTTATTTCTAAGAGAAATATTCCTGATATCTGAAAACTGTAGAGCATTATTCAGAAGTCAGTGGTCAAATGACAACCTGCTCAGAAATATTCAAATGAAACCACACATGAGTTTACTTTCTTAGCTCCTGCAGTAATTCAACTGCATTAAATTATCCCTTTCTAAATTTAATCCTGAATTGATATAATTAAATACTAAAACTGGATACAAGATAGATTTAATAAAAAAGGTTTGAACTGAGATTACTTATCTTCTCTGCTATCACAACTGACTGGGTGAGGAATTTCCAATTACAGGTAAAGAACTTAAATGTCTGCTGAGCACGTATAATCTATAACGAAGCCCACTCCCAGCAAAAGTGAAGCATATCAACAATACAATCAGTATATGAACAGGAGCCCAAAAGTAAATGAGATGAAAAGTATTAAACAACTCAGAAAAATATTGCAGAAGTCAGAGCTTAACTTGTTTTAGATTAAGCTAATCCTTTTGAAAGGTTTTCCAGTTTCTTCAAAAAGAAAAAAAATATCACTGGCATCTAACTTCAGGGTAAAAGTTCACTTGAAACATTGATGATGCCTATATTTATTGGAGGTAGGAGGAGTAGACTCAATCTTTTATTTATTTATATTTGGGAGGTGAGGAAGGCTATCAGTGAGAACACTACTGAGGCAACAGATGGAAGGGAAAGTTTTGAGGAACTAAGAGTATTGTAAACTTTGGGCTTGGGTTACTAAAAATCCAGATTACAAATATTTAATAGTTTGCATGTTGATTATCCACAACAATTTTGATTTTTTTTAAAGCAATTTGATGATGTTTTAGTGCAGGAAACCATAAGAAATGTCATTTATGATTTACTATGCTAGTTACATGTATACAAGTCTGAGTTACTTGTTAGTGTGCTTTGTGAACTAGATAAAAATTATATATCCCATCTGCATGGATGGAAGAAAATGACATTTTTGTTTTTACTATCCTATATTCAAAGTAGACATTTCATTTCATATCCTATAAAGCTGTATGTGCATTTCCTACATTCACTCTGCCTTTCACATTTCTTTCCCTGCACTAACAATGTAACACCATGCACAGGGGTTACTATTAAAAGCCAACATTGACTAACATTTAGAACAAAATTATTTCCTATTCTAAGTTTAGGAGGAAACTGTGGTATTTGAGATGCCACTCTGTGGTAACTGGATGGTGCTTAAATAAGAATAAATAACAGTTAGTAATGCTGATTTTTAAATGGGGACTATTGTATACAATTAGAAATGTCTAGAAATGTTTGATCTGCAGTCCAGCAATTTGATACATTACAATAATTATGTTTGACAATGTACCCAGCATGACACAATTTATTAATTTTAAAATATTACTAAAAGTACAAAGTAAGATATTCTGTTCAGTAAGAATATGCTTTCACATAAATAATGGAGACTTCCAAAATTTATTCGAAGATAGAATACTGTGCCTTTCTTTGCTGATCTCACTGGATATTTAACTCCCCTTGAATCCTACATCATATATAACATGTTTCTATTAGCTGAAGAAGAAGCTGAGCTGTAATAAAGTTGCCTTTTAACATGGAGGGGAGAAATGTATTTTTAGGACTTTCCCCTTTCTCATTAAAAAAGGATGAAATTGTGAGCAATAATTAAAAGATGGTTTTTTACCTTTAGTCCCAATGGAAGGAGAATTGACTTATGCAGCAAAACCTGAAAACTGTAGTTACATAATACCTTTGCTTCCTCTTAAGAAAAGGAAATGAAATTCCCTCTTATGACTAGAGTTTTAAAAGCTGATGCAGCATCAATACTTATGTCACTACTTGAAGATAATATTAATAAGTTTATCCTTATGTGAATATCTCCCTATGTATCAACATGAGAATACACCTTGTGATCTTCAACTCTGAGAATACAATTTTTAATAAGTAATTTGCAATAATATATTTGTGCAACTGTTTAATTATAGTTCTCTCATATATTATTTACCCCCAGTTATTGTGGAGATCATGGCTTTGTTCCTGCACATACTTAGGCGTGTGATTAACTTGAATAGAATTTGTTTTCAGTGGTAGTATTTACATTTCAAAGATATGAATGTGCCTTAATCTTTGCAATATCAGAGCAATAGTGCCCAAGTCTGTGCTCATAAGTGTAGTGTATGGTTATTACTAGTCATGGTGTCATAGCCATGTGCTAGATCAGTGGTCACCAACTGGTCAATTGCAATCGACTGGTCGATCCTAGAGGATATCCCAGTCGATTGCGATCTTTGTCGGCACAGCGGGGCTGCCGCTAAGACAGGCTCCCTGCCTGCTCCAGCCCCACGCTGCTCCCGGAAGCAGCCAGTGGCCCTAGTGGGCAAGGGTCTCCCTCCCTGTGCTGTTCCTACCTGCAAGCACCACCCCCACAGCTCCCATTGGCCGGGAACAGGAAGCTGTGGCCAATGGGGGCGGTGCTTGCAGAGAGGGGCAGTGCATGAAGCCATGTGCCACACACACACACACACCCCCGAGGCCACAGGGGAGCGTTGGCCGGGGTAGGCAGGGAACTTGCCTAGCAGCAGCCACGCTTCACCACCAACTGGGAACCGTCGGAGGTAAGTGCTGCCCAGCGGGAAGCCACACCCCAACCCCCCGCCCTGAGCCCCCTCCTAGGGCCAGCACCCCCAGAGCCAGCACCCTGTACCATCTCCTGCACCCCAACACTCTGCCCCAGTCCTGACCCCCTCCCAGAGCCTGTACCCACTCTTGCACCCCAACACTCTGCCCCAGCCCAGAGCCCCCTCCTGCACCCAAACTCTCTCCCAGATCTTGCACCCCTCACCCCCTCCTGCACCCCAACCCCCTACCCCAGGCTCATCCCAGAGCTTCCTCCCACACTGCAAACCCCTTGTCTCCAGCCCAGAGTCCACACCTCCTCCCAAACTACAACCTCCTACCCCAGCCCGGTGAAAGCGAGTGAGGGTGGGGGAGAGCAAGTGATGGAGAGATGGGGGGATGGAGTGAGTGGGGCGGGGCTTTGGAGAAGGGGCGGGGTAGATCCTGGGTTGCCCTTAAATTCAAAAAGTGATCTTGGGCGTAAAAAGGTTGGAGACCACTATGCTAGGTAACATCACAATAACTGACTAGCAACTAGATAGATTGTGGAATCCTGCATGGTTGTTCTTCAGTATTCACTGGCATCACTCTGAATGAAATTCACTGAAAATAAGAGTCAGCCAATTAATATAATAAAAAGAAAAAACAAAAGAAAAACACCCACACAAGAAGGCCATAATTAATGTGTTAATTATGATTTTATGGGCTCAGACTTGAAGTTCAGAAGTGAGTGCGATGATTACACTGGTCTACAATTTTTGAGAAGTAGTCTGCTTTAGAGATAAAATGTGCTATTTATTATGTATTT